CCTAGCACCTTTAATAAGATTGCCACCAAATATTTATTAAAAAATAAACAAAAATATGAAAACACAATGTTGACAAATATTATAGCTATTTATTGCTTGTATACAATGTACCAAGGATTATGGATTATGTAATTCATTGAATACAGTGTTTCTATCCTTTCAACAAAACTATAGGTGGGCAAGACTGTACTTTCTGTATCTGTGACTCAGGGAGCTAAATAATAAAGATTACACAGTTAATAATTAGCAGAAATGGGAACTTCAAACAAATTACAGTTCCACGCTGCTTCTCTGACACTTCTCAATGATAATTAATTTACCTTTTTAAAAAACTATATTACTTTTGGCACCACACTATCATATTTTGCAATATTAATTTGGACATGTTTAGTTCTCACTATAGATTATTACAAAATGTATTACAAAGACTATGTCTTCTGAATCTCCACCAGCATCTAACAGTCTGTTGGTCTACATCACTTAGCAAATATTTGCAGTCAGAAAAAATATTTGGAAGTACAGAATATATAGGTCATAAGCATTATTATCTTCTTTACAAGAGCAGTATGTTTATTTATTAAAATTTACAAATTAACTTTATATTTACCATAATAGAAAGCAACAGGAAAAAAGTTAAGCCCAGTTCTGAACAAGGTAAAATTTAGTGTTCTGAAAACACTTATTATTCTGTGAATACTTATGATCTTCTAAAACAATCAGTTAAATTTAAGGTCACACCGAAACATTAAAACTTGTTTTAGTTAAGCTTACTTTTTCTTTCATTTTTTCTTGAAAAATGCTGAGAATGATAGGACTTTTCCATGTGTAATAAGGTCTATTTCAGAGAGAGTCTTTATGAGACTATTTTTGTAGACTATTTTGTCCACAGTGTTCTTAAACCATTGACATAAAACAGGTTTTGTTGACTAATGACCTACCCTTACTATATAATTTAAGCAACTTAACTGCCCTAACAAAGGGTAATTTTTGTGACTAGGATTGACAAGTCACTTTCTCATAGTTCAATTAGTATCTGATAATAGAGTTATTTATCCCCTTGAACAACCACTCTTCAGTTTATACACTAATACTATAGTCATCCCATACTGATAATCTTTATTACATAGTGTGGAGGTTAAAACAACGTGGATGCTAATCTGCCATGCTGACTTCTGACTAACACCAATTCTGGAAAGGTCTCTAAGATTTTCAGTTTATCTTCTGTTCCTTGTATAAGAGCAGGCACTTACTATACATTTTGCCCTTAAGTCAGATAACCTTGATGTTATCGTACTTCAATTCTTCTGAATCACCCTTATTCTATGGTATATTAGCCCTGGGGCTAGGAGAAATGGTACAGGAGTCGGTCATCTTGTCTTGCCAATGCCTGAGACACAGACATGCCTTCTGATCATAAGTTCCCGTCACATGTTTCTTTCTGAGAAACTGGACATGGCAGCCTCTGTATTAGGGTTCTCAGCTTCTTCTGATTTGGGGGAGTAGGTTTATATTGACCTAGCTACCACAGAACATGTTGTGAGCCATGCCAGGAGCTGAGAGAACCAGGAATAGGCAAAAAACAATAAAGCATTCATGGGGGAAATCCCATGGTGGCCAGCCACTTCTGTGTGGCCCACTTTTGAGACACTTGTAAACCATTGATGGAGTATAAGCATGCCCTGGAAATGCCTGTGGGCTTAGAATAGTTGTTAACTGAGAGCCAGTTATCACATTGTGGTAAGGAAGGACAGTGAGCAGCTGCAGCAGCAAGAGGCCACTTCCGTGTGGTGCTTCTTTGAGAGGGAGCCCCGCTAACAGCAGAAGGCAAAGTAAAACAGCTTGAGTAGAAATCACAATTAGGAAAAATATTTCTTGAAGAGGTCAATAGTCAAAAGTTGACTTAGAACTGATATTTGGGCTACTTATACATACATATGTATTGTTTTAAGGCTTCTGCTCTTTCTCTCTCTAAGACTTCCCAGTCTACTGAATTGTTTCTCCACTTACTTCTGTCTGTCCTTCCTCCTTTTTGTCACCCTCAATGGCACATAAGGAATTTAATCAAAAGAATTTCTGACAGGCTGGGATACCTTGGAGAAAACAGAAAGGGCTCCAAAGACTCCTCTTTTGAGAAGAAACCTCTGTTTTTCCTCATGGAATCTCAAGAGTTGTGAGTCGATGGATTCCTTTTAGGCCTAAAAATCTGCTCTTTTTTTTTATCATATTGCCTAATCTCTTGGGATTTATGGAGGTACCAGAGATCACTGTGTACTGTTAGAGGACTTGATCTTGGTGTATGCAATGACTGTCAGTCATGGGTGAAAGCTACAGTGTTTGAGCTGGCTGAGGGCAGTTTGCAATAAAGTATTACTTCAGAAGCCTCCTCATTTATCTGAGTGTTTGAATAAGAAAAACTACTCATGCAGGCCCTAAAAACTGCATGCTTTTTTGGCCCTGTTCTTTAAAGGGCTTCACCCTGAAGTCAACAATCTAATTAAGAAACTAGCTAAATTGAAAAGAAGATACTTTTCCTGACAATCTTTTCTTCAGATAATGGTGTTCGGGTCTAAGTTCTGTACCTTTGAGATGGAAATTTTCTACCAGATTTTGCCTAAGGGTTATGTTTTAGGAGATAATTGATCATCTCAGATGGAAAGAGAAAAACTATTTAAAAATTGGTAAATGAAGACTTTTTTTTTTTTTTTTTGAGTTGGAGTCTCACTCTGTCGCCCAGACTGGAGTGCAGTGGCTGCTCACTGCCACCGCATCCTCGACCTGCTGGGCTCCGGCGATTCTTCCGCCTCCGCCTTCTGAGCAGCCGGAATTACAGGCATGCGCTACCACGCCCGGCTAATTTTTTGATTTATTGTGGAGGTGAGGTCTCACTGCCCAGGCAGGTCTCGAACCCGCGGACTCAGGCAATCCACTCACCTCAGCCTCCCAAAGGCGTGGGATTACAGGCTGAGCTAC